TATATTAAATATATAATTTAAAAAGAGGATAATTAACTTATAAAATATTATTACATCAACAAATAAAGAGTAATATTAGAGAATGGTCCCACGTTTTGAATGGGTTTACTAAAATTCCCTCTACCGAGACATATTTATTAAGATTTGTATTCTGTCTATCTAAAATTTTCCTTTGGATAGTTTTACATATAATTATTTTTTCCTCAAAATACTAAGCGGTGTTTATCGATATTCGTGATCTTCATCAAATAGATAAGTATTGTATTGATAAATACCATTACAAACTTTTTCAATAAACGACGAACTTATAAAAAAAATGACAAAATATCATGGTCATCTAATTTATGAATATTGTTGGAATGTTTGTTACTTCAAACAACACGACTACATTTTTATAAAAATTATATATGAATCTAAAAAGAATCTCTTATATATCTTTGTCATTATTTACTAAAATATGATGATATTTTGATCTCATATCAATCTCAATCCTATATTAATTTAATGATAAATATTATTAATAAAAAATTGGATTCTTTATTTGTTTTAGATTTATATATATATATATATATATATATATATATATATATATATATTATCTTTAACAAACAACATTCAATTTTTTTGTTTTTCTTATTTTTTATAAATAATACTCATTCATTATTTATTTATTTTTTATTTTATTTAAAAATAACATATTAATTAACCTTTAAATAAAAATTACAAAAATAATACTTTAAATTATAAAAAATAAATTATTTTATAATAAGAAAATAGTTAGTTACGAGAAAAATTATACATTCATCTCTCTTCTTTTGCCACAATCGATAATTACGTTTTCTAGTTATAAAATATATATTATTTTTTTATTAATAAAACTGCTATTTTTATTTAGTTATTTTTTATTATATGTAAATATAAGTAACAATTTAATAATTTTATAACTTTCTCAAAAATATTATTATATTTGAAATTAAATTCTCGAATCAAACATATCTTAATATGAAATTTCTTTTGTATATATATAATATAAATTAGAAAAAGAAAATAAAGATAGCAAGTTCCTTGGATATTTGGGTAACGTACGTGTAAACAATTTGACGCGTGTAAGGTTCCTGAGCAACAACAGAAGCGCCTTATCCAAGAGCAAGCTTGCATCCACAGCACATATTTTAGTTTGCCTCTTAAACCACACATTCATCATTATATGCATTGCTTCTATGAAAGAATATTCTTGGTCAAAAAATATCCTTCATACAACTTCAATTGTTTTCATTTAACTATCTTCATCACTGGTCATCATCATTTTTTCTTTTTTATTTTTCTCAATCTCCTAAATAAACTAACTTAACCGTTAAGAATTCAACCTAATCTCACTTGTAATGGTATTTAATAATTTGGAGGGTGATATATAATCTTATAATAGTTTTAGTCAAAGAGATAATGCATGCATACGAAAACTAACTGAAATTAGTTCACATCGAGGAAATTAATGCAATTTAAATTCTGGAATTTTGTGTAAGTTCATTATTTAATTTCTCTCTCTATATATATATAATTTTGATACAGTGTAGGGTAAAAAAAGTATTATGAAAGAAAAAAATAAAAATATATTTTGTGCAACATCTAATTTACATACGATACTCTAGAATTAATTTTATATTTGAGATATTATTTATTTTAAAATTATTAAAAAAATTATTTAATAAATTAAAAAAGAAAGATTAATATAAATTATTATTATCGACTATAATGAACGCATTTACCGAAATATAAATTAAATTAAATTAAATTTGTTAGTTTATTTAATTTTATTTATGATTGACGTTAAGTTATATGGACTCACTGAAATATAAATTAAATTAAATTATTTAGTTTATTTAATTTTAATTCATGATTTAAGTAGATTTAGATTAAATTGATTTACAGATACGTTAACAACTTCATTTTATGACTAATATTTAAAAATAAAAAAAATTATTTTATTAAATTATATATTTTTATTTATATATTAAATTATTATATTTAAAATAAATAATTAATTTGATTAACATAATATAAATTTTATATATGCTTTTTTAAATCAATAAAAAATTGGTTGGTTTTACATTGAGTGAATTCAAGCCTTAAAAACATGGTATATAAACATAAAGCACGAACCGACCTGACATCATTTTCTCCGAGGTATTTATCAGATTGTACTATATCTAAACTAACTATTTAATGTTTTATGAAAAAAAATTATTTGTATTGAATTTTTTTATAAGTAAATAAAATCAATTTAAATTGAGTATAGTACTCAAAACTAACAAATAGAGTATAATATAAAATAGATAAATGTCATTAAAAAATTACAAAATACATATGAATCACATTAAATAAAATAGATTTAAGAATTATTATGTCAGTTTATAAGATTAAAAGATATTTTCATATTAGTCAAAAAGATCCACTTTAAAAAAAATATAGATTTAAAGTCAAATAATTTCAACCGATCTATAACATTTTAATTAAAGATTACAAAATTCTAAAATAATTAAATAGACTAGATGACTACAACCAAAATAATAACTAAATATGAAGATCATTTCTTATTTCTCTAGATTGCACCAAATAATAATAATAAAAAAAAAAGACATAGTAAAATTAAACTCTATTTTATCATCTTAGCATATATTTAATACTTCATCTTTGTCTTATTAATATAAGATTTTGCTAATAATTTTATTTTGTTATTAATTATTTTGTAAAAGAATATTAAACATTAACGACATTATTATCTAGATTTAAAGATTAAATGATTGAATTTTATGATATGTTTTTATAATTATTTTGTTTTATGGAAATACTCCTAATATGTCGGAGATATGTCTCATATCTTGGACACTTATAAATTGACTTAGTCAACTTCAGATAAGTATATAAGACTTCCGAACTCGAAAATTAAATACATTACAACTGAAATATTTGAGGATAAACGAGTTCTATTTATACTTGTCACAAATATTTTTATTACTCAATTTATATTTAATTTGAAAAAAAATTATAATCATGTGCTGAATCTTAATTTTTAAATTTTATTAGATATTGTTTCAAACTCTAGTTAATATTTGTATTTATTTTATATAAAAACATTTTTTATTCATTGAATTGTATTTTCAATTACTAACTAATTAATCTAGCATAGTCAAACTATAAATAAATAAGAAATTAAAATCACAATCTTACAAAAATTATCTCGTCAAATTCTTTGAACACATAATAAATTATTAGATTATTAACATTGAAGTGTTAATGTAAAAATTTAGAAACTAGCGTAAGACAAATTTTTAATTAGAGATTGAAAATAAAAATCTAAAAAAATCGATATAGAAATATCAAATCCTTCCCTAAAAATAACAAATTATTGTTCTTTGCCCATATAACCCTTGGATTGTGAAGTTTAAACAAGTTAGCACCCACGGGTTCATGATTATTAATTTTTTATAAGATTTTTTTTATACACTTTAAAAAAGTTTCATAACTATTTCATGAATATATGATATTAATTAATCTTTATCTAAAAATTGATTGATAGTTTTAATGGTATCTCCCTTTTTATCCAATGTTTTTATTAATAATACTCAAAGGCGAACTTTTGATTAAGGACTCTATAATCCTTCTGAGAAATAATTGAATTAAAAAGTTATTCAATTTTATGTTATAAAATTGTCTACCATTTTAAATAAATTAAAAAAATTTATATAGAATGATAATTAAACTCAACTTTTATAATACTCACTAAAAATATTTATACTAGAAAAGGATTCACGTAATATTATTCCGATTATTATTATTATTATTACACTACACATTATATTATTCTTACTGCACCTATTTTTCTCTACTACATTTCTTTGTTGATTAAATGTACGATTTTATTGTATAAATTTAATTGATCTTCCATCATTACAAATAATAATAATAATAAATTCAAGAAATAATAGTTATAACAATACACGTATGAAGAGATTTAAAAAAAATAAAAATTATATAAAGGATAACAGCGAATTAATAATAAAAATTATATCAGTAGAAATAGAAGTAATAGTATACAAATAGCAGAACAATAGTTAAAAAAACTAATAAATAACTATATAAAATAAAAATAGTAAATATATATTTTAAATAACATAAATAATATATATATATATATATATATATATATATATATATATATATATATATATATATATATAGAATACTAATCATATTTTTTTTGTCAAAGTACTAATAAAGTAATAATATATTAAATGGTAAGAATAATAAAACTATATTAAAAAATTGAAATGATAATACCCAAAAATATTATCATCTTAAAAAAAAATTAAGATTTGAAACTACACTAAAAGAAATGTTATCATTTGATCTCGATTGTTATATAGTTTAAATTTGTTAAATTTTCTAAATATATAAGTTCATTCTTAATTAATAGATAATATCATAATTAAACTGATAAAAAATAAATTCATAATCAAATAAAATTTCAGTAAAAGAATAAAACAAAAACGTTCAAAATCATAAATTGTATGTAGCTTATTTTGGGTAATTATTAATTAATATAATGATTATTTAAAAATTGTTTGGTGTATTTATTGTTCCAATCTTAATACAAAATCTAATAACTTTATATAATTATTTTTCGTGCATTACGTGTTAGCTATTTAAATTAAATTCTGAAAATATCTCTGAAGTTGAAGTATGATTAGTGCTTGTTGAAAAGTTGGAGTAATAATACCTTTGATTTGACAAAAAAATTAAATGTTGCTTTTCTTTCGAGATATTTCTTTTGATTTCATCCATCAATGTAAAAAAAGTCACTTTTGTAAAATGACAACTCGTGCTCTGGATTCCATGGGATTTCGGAGTCCAACATCGTTCTTATGTCTTAGGCATTAATTTCCTTCTCCAAACCCATCAAACCCATTCATATACCTTCTCAACCTTTCTTGTCTTTTCTAATGGTCCCAATTCTGAGGCCCACGTGCCATGCTTATGCAGAGTTTGAGGTTAGGAGGGTTTGGTTGCTGTTTGTTTTTGTGTGGTGAGTTTGGGTGTGTTCAGAGGGGGACGCGGTTTTGGTTTGTTTTGTATGAGGAGTTTGGCCTAATTAGAGTGTTGCTGAGAATATAAAATTACAGATTCTGGGATGTTCAGAAATGGGATTGAATATTTTCCCAAACTCCAAGGAATCATTAGAAGGTTTTGATAGCAAACGAAAGAAAGATCTTGGTGAGATGGGACATGATGAGTTGGTGAGAGTTGACAACATTTCCCAAGATGAGCTTGAATCAACTTCTTCTGAGAAGGAAGAGGATTGGAGGGAAAATTTGGAGCAGAATTCATCAGAGGCTAATTCTACGCCTAGAGAAGGTAAGTGCCCTGTTAGCTGCAAGGAAAAGATTCTTTTATGACTCCTATTAGACAGTTGATGACTGTGAAATAGGCATTAGAATTGTTGTAAAGTACGTTAAGAAAGTGTTTTCAGTCCATGTCAACCTCTTTTAGGTGTTTTTCAGCTGAATTAACTTTTTGCCTAAGTGGAGCTGGAACACTCTTTATATATTTAAGGTAGATTCTGATGTCACAGCAAAAAAATTTCAGGTTTTTCTACGAGTAAGACATTTTAGCCATGTTGGACTGTTTGATGTGAAACTTTGCAGAGAGTAGTAATATTTGAGGATTTGTCCATGACAAGGGAAAGTTGAAAACGGAGGGGTGTGTGAAAGTGTGGGACACACAAGAAGAGAAACATAGATTGGGAAGTGGAGAACAGGAAAGGATTTAAAAGGAGTTCTATAGGTTTAATGGCAAGATTTAGAAATTGCTTTATGAATTGAAATTCCTAAATCAAATGCTTTTATGCATTTATCATTGTTTTGTTCTGTCTAGGACTCTTAAGTTACTATGCTTGTATAAAATGCCTTATCCCAACAGGAACTTTCAGTTCTATAAAGTATTCAGTTCCATTTTGTTTGAAATTCTTAAATGCCACATTTTGATCAAGTTATTTTTATCCTCACAAGCTTTACTACCACTAAAGGAATTTTGGTTTTTGATATATCTTATTGGCTTTGACTGATTCATGTGGGATAAGACTTGAATCTTACTGTACTTATCTACCTCCTATCTTTGTTATATGCTGTGTTGGTTGGCTACATGCTGTAGTAGGCCATGTACCCTTGAACAATTGTTTCTTAGTTCTTCTGAAGATTAATTTGATGTTTTGTATTGTTGAAATTTGCTGTCAAAGGTTTGGACCATTTCATCCCAGAGTCTGTTGGAGCTGAGAGGAACCTGCTAGTTGCTGCTGATAATGACATTATGTGTTTCAAATCAATGATGGACAAATGGGATTCTCCAAGGCAAGACCTAATAGCGGACAGGCTGTCAGAGTCTGAGAAGGTAGATTCACATGTTGTAGCTTGTATGTATATTTTTTTCTACATGCTTGTGCAGTTCATTCAAATTTTAGTAAGTTATGCTCATATATTGATGATTGTTTATGTGTTCTATTTAATATTGTTTCAGAGATTTGAATCTGGACCATTGTTATGTTTACATTTTAAAGATTCTAGTTAAGATAGTTATTAGAATCTCAGGATTCACATTTTGAACCTTAAGATTTGAAACATTTCATCTACCTACAGATTTCTATTGTATAAAATGAATTTTAAATGTGTTTGAATCTTACTAAGTTACTATCACGAATGAATCACTGGAAAGAAAAGAGTTGCATATATTTCTGTATATTTTAAATGCAAGCTCTAATTCCCTTTTAGGCTAATTGGCTAAACTTAACATAAAAGGTAGCATATCAAAGAGACATGAGATTTATTTAATTCTAATAATATTAAAGATATTTACTACAAAATCAATGCAATTTTGTATCATTGATACTAATCACAATATTCTATGATTCATTATTTTTTTCTTCACCAATTCCTATAATTTTTTTTTTTGAGAAACCATTAAGCTTAAATTGCTAAATAGAAAAGAACGGAAAGAGCACTTAACTTATGAACTTATCAAATTTGTTTATTTATTACTTTATTTGTCATTCACTCACTCAAGATATGCACTCTGTTTTGCTATTTTATTGTTTCGATTTCAATATTCTAAAATAGGGACTTCACATACTAAGATAAAACTATTGATTTTATTTTGTCTGATATATGGTTCAGTTGTTTTATCTATTTATAGTTTATAATTATTTATTATTACACTGAATATTACATATCATGTTAAATAATTTAAGGTTCAATAGTTAAAGTGTGATTGAACAGGTATTAAGAAAAATAACGTCAATCATTAATTAAGTCAGATAATATTAAAAACTCATAATATCTTAACTTTAAGATAGTAAAATGGTTGAATGGTCTTTTTGTTCTTTTAAAGTGTACATTTTTCTCTTTAGTCGTTAACTGTTAATAAATTAATAATTTCTATAAGTAATTTTCATCTTTCACATCTGATTTTTATTTAAAAAAGATTCCTACTTATTTTCATTAAAATACAATTTAGTCCTTATGTATATGAATTAACTTATACTACGTCATAACATAGAGGGAGGGATTAAATTGCATTTTAAGGATAATATATGAAGACTTACTTGAAATGAAAAGTGGTTGTGAGAGATAAAATTTACTTTTTGGAACTTTTTAATTTATTTATATTCTAGGACTAAATTGAAACTTCAGTATGCTTTTAAGGACCAAATTGGCTATTCTACCTAGTAAAAAATTAAAACTAAAACATATTGTTGTAGGTTTTAAACATTTAAATTTGAAGTACATACAGAAATTCAAATCAAATATCTTATAATACTTAAGTCAAATTTGAAACAATATACATCAATAATTATGAATAATATTATTAACAAATTTATATTTGAAATGAAAAAGAAAATGAAAACATTTTAGATTTATTGTTTTTAAGAAAGAAAATATTTTCCATTGAACTGTTATAAACCAGTTTTTTTTGCTGCTTTTTGACCGAATATCTGGTTTTTCACTGGTTTCCCGGTTCTTTGATTGGTTTTTCTTCAAGCCGATTTTGTGATAATTTAAACGGGTTTGCTGACTAATTATCTGGTCTGATCAGGCAATTTGGTCTGAATTTTAGAACACAGGTATGTATGAAGAGGAAAGGAAAAAAAAAAAAAAAAAAAAACTGATGAAAAAAATTCCAGATTCATGAAAACAACTTATTTTTCAGAAATTTTACTAAATTGATGTCCCAAATACCTAATTTATTTTACGAACAACTTATTTTTCTTAAAAGCAGCTGAAAAGAAAGAGCGTTTTCAAACATGCTCATAGTATCCAAGTATTTGAAATTTAGTTAAACACTATTTCTTCATATGAATACTTTCATAACTATCAGTATATAATGTGTTCATTTTGTTTTCCTTTCCTGCCTAAATGGAATTAAGAATTTTAGAACGTCTGAAAGCCTTTATGTTAACATGCCTGTGTAGCTTTCTTCTTCACAATTCTGGGTTTGTGATTTATGCATTAGAGTTGCCAAATTCTCCTGATTGGTGACAACACTTTTATGTTTTTTTACAGCAAAAGCTGATTAACCTTGTGAAGATACAAAATGATGGGACTGTTGAAGTTGATCTAGAAAAGGATACAACTCTTGCATCAGAATTGTTGAAGTTTCAATCTTCTGAAGAGTCAACAACACTGAGTGCAACTGTTGTTTCTGAATCGAAAAAATCAGTTCCCTGGTTACAAATTGTCATGCTTGTGGTTGGGACTAGAGGTGATGTACAACCTTTCCTGGCCATTGCAAACAAACTCCAGGTATGTTTGAACGTTTCCATTCAATTCATCCTGGTGCACAAGAGAACAGAGATGTCAAATAATTGTGACTTAGGTTATTGCTTATTGTATGTAGAACAAATGTTTCTGAGATCTAGATAAACATTTGTTGTGAGAGAGGCAATTCTTTGTACCTAATCTAATATGCTGTGCTACATGGATGTATTTTTGACTTTTTTAGTTTGATGTCATTATTTTTTCCACATTTCAGTGATTAAATCTGTAGACACTTGGTTATACATAGGCTAGCTTTATCGGTTGTTCCATTCTTTAGCATGGTCAAAGTTACCTTTTGTTTCTATTGTATGAACTCAATAAATAAAAAAGTGTAAACTTAAAATGAATAAAAAAGTGTAAACTTAAAATGAATAAAATTGAGACATGTAGGTTACTTTAACGTGAGGCCTAAATGAGAACTATCTTCAGAGAATGATGAACTTTATTATTGGTTTCATATTATTTGCTAAACTTAGATGTCTTGATATATTGGTATCGCTATGCTTATGATATGCGATATTGGATGTAATACAATGTGATTGAAGTTATAACCAATAATTCTTACTTTTGGGATGTGCTTAGTTTGGTCTTTTGTGGTTTTACTTAGCTTCTGTTTGGGTATAAGGAGAAGGAGAAGTTTATTAAGATAATTAGAATGTTAATGGGGTAGTTAGTTGGTTAGAGGGGTTAATCAAATATAAATAGGGAAGAAGGATACTACAGAAGTGGATTTGTTTTTATTGTAAATTGAGCATGAGCTCTTTGAGAAAGGAGAAATCATTTTTGTGAAGGGGAAACCCTTGGAGGAGAGATTTCTCTCCTATTTCTTGTTCTTTTCATCACCAAGAATTGAATAAAAAAAATGGTTTCGCCTTCAAAAAGATTCCTTTCTCAGACTGAATGCTCATTATACAATAACAACAAATTTGCATCTCTCCTGTCCTTCTTCGCCTATTTATCTAACCAACCTCTTTAATCAACTAGCTAATCTATTAATATCTTAATAAACTTCTCTTTCTCCCTGTATCCTGACAGCTTCATTAGTCCAAGTTGAATATGGCCCTATCCAAATTGATCAGCATGCTCTTCTAGTTTATGGAGAACAGTGATCAGCAAAATTCCCAGAAATCTTGTCCTCGGATTGCTAGGAAAATTCAATTATTTCATGCAATGTCTATAGGAGCTCCCAGGCTTAGGTTATCTCCTTCCTTTTCTGTGTGTTGGAGTGGAGTTACTGTTTACATTCCCTAAACAGGCTTCATCTTGTAATCTTATTCCTAATATCTGTCTCCTCTGCTACAACTTACAAGCAATGCAAATATACAGAATTATTTTCTATATAAACATTTAAGCAACATATCAGACGTGAGAGATCAATGACATTTGTTGAAATTATGTTTTAGCCTTTTAGGTACAGAGGGAGAGAACAGTGACAAAATATAGTGAGATTGATATTGACTTGATTTGATGTGATTTATTATAGTGTGACAGTATGTTCTTCACATTATTTTATACTATTCATAAACCTAACTAAATACGAAATAAATCATGAGATAAGGAAATATGTACCATTTTTAGAAATAATGAGGAAATAGGAAAACTAATCCTAAAGGGTAACTTTGTTATTCTAAAATATGATCAACATATTGAATATTTTCATATATTTCAACAGCTTTGAATTTCAATTTTTTTTACTGCCTCTTTGATTGTTATCTTCCCCTCCAAGTGCTTTATTAACTTCTTTTTCACATCATGTACTCACATTCAGTGACGCTTTTCCTCTTAACCTCATTCCCTTTTACAATCGCATCTGTTTTATGTATGTCTTTGGCAGGTATTTAGTTATTAATATTATAATAGTGTTACTTATAGATCTTGACTTCTGATCTGTCCGTATCTTTCAATGAAATGTCAGTGGTTCTGTTGTCAATGCAACAAAAAGGCATGGTATATTATCCAAGTATTTAAATCAGTTATATTCGTTTCCACATTTGTTGTGATGCAACTTATATATTCCCCTGATTGCTGTCATTAGTGCTACTGATCTTTTTTGAGAGAATTCAAAATCATGATTTCCAATTACTGTAAATTAATTTTATATTAAATCCGTTAGCTTTCCTGAATTCTCACTTTTTTCAGGACTATGGTCATCGTGTTAGGCTGGCAACACATGCTGATTTTGACACATTTGTAAAGTCTGCTGGTGTTGATTTCTATCCTTTGGGTGGTGATCCTCGTGCTTTGGCAAGATGTAAGAGGTTCCTTTTTAATGCTGCCCTTAATATAAAGATTTTTCATTTCAATGTATACTTTTTTCTTAACATGCCTAGACCTTCTCTTTTAGCTCCTTAATCCATATTTTTGGTTTTCCAGTTCAATTTGCTCCATTAGAAAACATGCTACAATGTATTGGAATATTCTTGTTGGTGCATTTCTGGAAGTTGAGCATTTTTAATACGCCCGCTCATGTCTAAGACTGCTAGGCTTAGTGCGTTTATGGATCTAGGATAGCATCTGATGTCATTTTAGAATATCGGTTCAGCTAAACTTACTTGTAAGAAGATTGCCCTCCACTATTAAGCTCTATCTCTAGTTGATATTGGATTTGGGATTTTTCCATTAACTAATTGTTTTGTAATTATTGATGTCTTAAAATAATGTCATCTCACAGTACCCTATAAATACAATTAATAATCTTTGTGAGTGAATTCCTTAATATCTAGTTGTAAGATATTTTGAAATTATCAAAAGCATTCTTATTTATTTCCCCTTTATTGTCCAATAGTTAAAGATTTACAAGATTGTGACAACCATATTTAGCAAGATAATGCTCACAGTGAGTGATTTTCTAGTTTTGACAGTTAGTATCATTACCTCAGTCACATTATTTTGAAGCATGACAAATGAATGTTCATGTGCTCGTTCTGATTAGCTGCAATAGAAAAGATTATTTCAATAATATATGGTATCTATAATTAATTAAAATAATCAATTATATGAAAGAAGTTCTATGTTTGGGTATGTGAGTTCATAACTGGTTTTAAGATAATTTATTTTGTTTGAATTGTCTCAGAACTACTTTCTCAAAGTAAAATTACTCTCAAGTTATTCTGTAATGGTTGGTATTTATATAACCAATTATTGGGGGATAAAATAGGATTGCAAAAGTTAGTTATAAATTAATTTAATAATTATAAACTTCCAAATTTTGCTTATGATGAACAAGTTATTTAGTTTTTAAATAACCGAGGATTATATTCTAAAATCCATGCCATTACCAAGTGTCATCTACCTAACGCATATGAAAATTACATCTAAGAGCTTTTTCCATTTAAAAAGCTTTTCCTGATGAAATTTTATCACTGCCAAACACTCTATCTCTCTTATTCTTATTCTTCATTTTTCTGTTCATTGTATATCTTCATTGAATGTTAAATATAAAACCAGTCATGAACCTTGGGTTCAGAGCTTAAGTTTTTAGGATTGTCGGTCCTTGTCAGTGTATTAGAGCCTTTATGACTAAATTGTCAAGTTTTCAATCTTTGCATTGTTTGTGCTTTAAGCCCAAAGGGCTTTCATATGAGGGTTAATCTTAGATACAAATCAATCATAAGCGTTCACATAATAGTTTAAACTTTTCGGAGTATTGGTACTTGAAGTATGCTAATTGAGTTATTTCTGTAATAGATATGGTGCGGAATAAAGGTATAGTCCCATCTGGTCCAACTGAAATATCTATCCAAAGAAAGCAGCTGAAGGCTATTATTGAGTCTCTTCTTCCAGCATGCACAGAACCTGATTTGGAAACTGGTGTTCCTTTTAGAGCTCAGGCTATTATAGCCAATCCTACTGCGTGTGGTAAGTGGTTAGAACCCAGCAGATTATTACATTGTGTATTATTAATTTATCTTTTAATTTATTTCATTACTTATGTATTTTACTCCAATTAATATTAGCATAAATTGTTTAGTGAACCCTATTCTTCGTAAGGAAAAAATTTGGAGCCTTAAAAATGACAGCTAAATTCAGGGGCGTTCATTTTAAAAGTGTGGAGAATCATAAGAGTGATTGAATGGCACTATTTTTCCCCCTTAGCAAAGATTCTTTTCATTTTACAATAGTGTGCTTTTTTTGGTAAATTGATCTGGTGCAGGGGTTTTAAATAAAATAGATAGAATTAACTTATGTTGTGGCTTGCAGGACATACACACATTGCCGAAGCCCTTGGGGTGCCCCTTCACATCTTCTTCACAATGCCTTGGACGTGAGTTTAAATTGTTTATAACCTTTGAGTAAAAACTTTACATATGATCTCTTTGGTAAAAGGATAGGAAGAGTATTGGTGGAGATCCTATGTTGACTAGTGATATGGCCAAATTGTAATATATAATTGATGTGAAAATTTCACATATCGGATTTATAGAATTATTCATAAGTATTTCTTGATTTGAAACTTGAAATGTTAAAATTTAAAACAGTACATTTTCTTGCAAGAAATAGAAGCAGGAATAATGGTGTTTCAAATATTCAGGTAAATGCAACATTTTTCAAGGACTACAACATGGATCCCCTTGACATGATGTAACTTTGCTTTGATACATAGAACAAAGAAGATAGAAGTGGATAAAAATGGAAATCCCTTTTATCTTTAAGTGCAAATAAATATTTGAGGGTCAGGTCATCATTAACATACCAGTCATTGAAAATACACTTCTCGTAAGTAAACTTGCAATTTTGAAAGTTTAAAGGGAGGGGGAATGGATAATGGGAGCAAGAGGGATTTAACCTCTCAAGTTTCATCCTTCTCTATCAAAAACTGACCCCAATTTTGTGACTAGTATAGGGTTGAATTTTGTTATAATCTCAGTGTAAAGTTATTTTACTCTATCATCCAATCATGTAATCAAACATTATTAAAAAGATTAACTTTTCATGTTATTATTATAGTAAAACATTTAGTTAGTGACATGACAATACAGGAGTGGATCCTAAAAAACTTTATATAGACAGAGGAAGAAAACTAAATGCTAAATGATGATATGGTTTTTTTCTAGTTCATGATTCATATCAACAAAAATGACTATTTTACCATGATTGTGTTGAGTAGAACTTTCAACTTATTACTTGACTTTTAAATCATCTTATTAAGAAAAAATATGTTTTTTTGTATCTTAAGATAGAAACTCGTAAAAACCATAGGATAAACCCGAATTTAAAATTTCTATTTTTTTTTATATCCTATTTTTATAGTATTTCTAATTTCTGTAATTTAGCTTCTTACATTTCAAATTTTCAATAGGCAGGCCAACGTATGAGTTTTCACATCCTTTGGCACGTGTTCCTCAAAGTGCTGGTTATTGGGTATGTCATTTGCTGAATTTTTTTTCTGCCATATGAATTTAATTAGTTTTGTGAATAAATTGCTTGACTAAGTTACCTATGAACCCGTTTCAATATGTCCTTGCCTTATCCAGCTGTCATATATAATTGTGGATCTACTGATATGGTGGGGAATACGAGGACTCATCAATGACTTCAGGAAAAGAAAATTGAAGCTTTCTCCTATTGCATACTTCAGTATGTACAGTGGATCAATAACTCATTTACCTACTGGCTATATGTGGAGTTCTCACGTTGTTCCAAAACCAAGTGGTATGGAAAGATAATACAGCAGCATAATGTATTTATTTATTTAAAGAAAAGTAGCATAATCTTTTGATTTTGTTCTTTTATATATAATCTTTTTGTTATTGAAGTATGAGATAAAGCATAAGTTGTTACAATCAATAGTACCCTCAGTCCTTGAGTAATTTTGACTTGAGATGGATAATTTGAATTGTAGATATATTAAGTTATCTGTTGTAATTAATAATTGGTTAAATTTGTTTTGCATTATTATATAAAGGTTTATTATGGAAATGAGGACAATAGGTCACATTATGATATTGAGTGCAGTACATCATTCTATCGATAGTATCACTGTTTTTACATAATACTATCTAGAAATGCTTAGCAGACATGTTTTACATTTTTACTTTCTGTCTTGGGTGTGCTCCCTGCGCTAATGTCATTTGAAAAAATTGCAGACTGGGGCTCCTTAGTTGATGTTGTTGGTTATTGTTTCTTGAACCTTGGATCAAAGTATCAACCACAGGAAGATTTTGTCCGATGGATTCAAAAAGGACCAAAACCTTTATATTTTGGGTTTGGGAGCATGGTATGATACAGTTATTCTCTTTATGAACATTTTTTTTTTTTTTTTTTTGCAGTTTAGTCCTTTTGTGTTTTTGGATATTAAGAATATTGTCACTATCTTGGTAGGTCAAATCTATCTTCACAGGAAAATAAAGCAATGGATGAGATTTTGCATGGTAGAATTAATAGTTTATGTTTGCTCCCATGGCCCTTCAATTACATGTGCTAAAACTGCAAAAAGGATGTCTCTGTCCATTGAATGTATATATTGTAGTACAACTTTGGTTTCAGTTTACCATCTCAGGAGCTGCTAAAAACTGGAACCTAGTAAAAATATCCAAAATTCTTGCAATTCACAACCTGTCAAATAAGTATACGATGTGTGAACTATTATTGGCTGGTTTGGCACATAATATAGAGTGCTGCACATATATGCAATAGAATTTGTGTAATTAATCTTGTCACCCTTAACAGTTTCAGGTATACACTAAAGCTAGAAACTTTACATTTTATTTTACCTTTGTACTTATTCCATTATCAAATATTTAGAATGGAATTCCATAGTCCTCTAATGAAAATATTGTGTTTCACTTTATTAGCCTCTTGATGATCCTAAAAGAACTACTGAGGTGATAGTGGAGACACTAAAGGATACAGGACAACGGGGAATTATTGACCGTGGCTGGGGGAATCTAGGGAACTGTAAGTATTTCCTTCAATTTCATTGTCAAAATTTGTTTCCTTTGTTCCAAATAATGATTGGTTATAAATACCTTTCATCTATTGTTTATTAAATGCTGTGTCGTTTGTTTTTATCTTGGTGTCAATGAATAAGTAGTAACAAAGTAAGGGAAAAAAATGGAGAAGAGGAACCCTATGCTACTATAAAACATAATGTATTTATAAAGTGTATTGCATATGAACATCTTATTCTCTTTAGATAATTATAGTTTCAATTTCATTATGTTTTCCATTATGCAGTGGCAGAAGTTCCTGACAATGTTTTCGTGCTAGAGGAATGCCCTCATGACTGGTTGTTTCCTCAATGTTCTGCTTTGGTAAGTTCCAATTTATGTTTCTTGTGACTCATTTTGTAAAGAGAGAAAAAGAGAACATTGGGGAGACTTAGTGTACACCTAAATGGGGTCTCTTTGATTTATTTAGTTCATTTCTTTGGGTATGATTCTTTCTTAATGGTGAGATCCCATTAGGTAGGAAATATGCACTTACACATCTGATCACAAAATAAATAGAAATTAACCGAGGATATTTTGCCACAAAATGCAGGTGCATCATGGTGGTGCTGGAACAACGGCTACAGGACTAAAGGCTGGGGTAATGTTCTGTTCAATGGTGTCATAGAAAAGTGTTTTTCTTTTCATAGATTCAAGGATCTGTGTTAATGTCTTAGCATTTTCTTTTAATTGTTTCACTGATCGTTGTAAACAAATTTATTATTTACTTTCTTTTTCTCTTTCTTCAGTTTTACTAATGTCAATACCATAACTTGCAGTGTCCAACAACCATTGTTCCATTTTTTGGAGATCAGTTCTTCTGGGGAGACAGAATCTATCAGAAAGGGCTGGGACCTGCTCCAATTCCAATATCTCAGCTTAGTCTTGAGAATTTAACAAATGCCATAAAATTCATGCTCCGGCCTGAGGTATCTTTCAATTCTATGCAATGTGCATCCCTCCTAATCCCAAAGTATGTGAATATAATTTGAATTTAAATATGGAAAAGTTCATTAACATAGGAAATCACTCCCCTTAATTTCATTGTTTGATTGGAAACTTAATAATTTGATTGACCAAGTTAATTTATGGGTATCCATACTCTGTTTGTGCACAAATGTACGTGTGTATGTTTTCATATATTTTTGAATGTAATATAGCACGTACCAAAATTTTTTAAGACTTGCTAACAAATTGAAGCAAGCCTGAAAAGCATAGTTGGGGAAGCATGAACATTGAAGGACATGTGATTTACAGTTATTTTCACTTTTCACCCATGGCTTTGGATATTTACAACTATGATATATATAACACATTGGTTTACAAAGTCTTTGTAGTAATGGATGTAAAATCTTCAGGTAAAATCACAGGCAATGGAAATCTCAAAGTTGATTGAGAATGAAGATGGTGTTACAGCTGCAGTTGATGCGTTTCACCGCCATCTACCATCAGAGCTACCACTACCAACTCCATCTCCAGAGGTGAAGGACCAAGCAAATCCTTTGCAGTGGTTTTTTCTCCAACTAGCAAAGTTGTGCACTTTACCTTGTGGGGGTGTATAGTTTTTTTGTTTCTTTTGCTTCAAGAATATTCTCTTTTTTTTCTTATTGATTGCATAATTATATTTTATTCGGAGTTTTCTCCTTAGTAATGGTAGCAGTGTTTAGCTTAGTATAATATTCCATTCATTTCTGTCAAAGTCTTTTCTGTGAAGAATTGACTAGTAGTAGTTATATTGAAGTTGTTTCCCTTGTGAGGTAGGTTATGAGTTGAGGGCATTTGTTATGAGAAAAAGAGTTGAGTTGTGTTACTTTCATGATTCCTTAATGAAAAATCAAGTTATCTAGTTATTTCTTTTTGTATAAGATCATACATATCTTCTTAGAGTAAGTTGTTTCAACTATTATGAACAGTTAAATTAATTTTCCAGTATGTCCTTTTATCTTGATCTTTTTGTTTTCATTTGGCAAGAACTGGTCATTTTGAATCATCTGCACATGAACACATAAAAATCAAGTCATGTCGTTTTTTTACAACAATTACTAATAATCAATATCAAAATTACCCCAAAATAACAAAATAATATGAGGACATGAACAACTAACCATAGGTTTGATGTTATTTTAGTGAACTACAAGTACATTTTTTATAATAACAATTTTTTTGTGATTTTTCCAGAGAAAAGATTAGAATGCCATGAGAACAGATTAATAGTCAGATGTTGCAAGTTGTTTAGGAGTGATGAGTATATATATATATATATATACACACACACACACACGGAGGGATACAAGTTTCAAATTCTGTTTGCATCTATATTTTTCTCATCACACTTTTTTTAGTTATTTATTTTAACAATATCCTATATATTTGTTTATTTTTGTCAATCTGAAAATTAAATTTTCAGATAATATAAAAATGTGTTTTTTTTTATTTCCAAAAACTTCTTTCCAGTATACTTTTTAAATACTTTAAATATATTTTTACCAGGATATATTAATAAAAAAAAAGTTATAATTCTCCTGAAACAATGTTTTCTAGCAAGTATTGAGTTCTACAGAAATAATATTTCTCTTGTATACGAAAAATCATAGTCACTCTCTTCCTAACTTTATATATATATATATATATATATATATATATATATATATATATATATATATATATATATATATATATTTCATAAGTAATTGTTAGAGTAAAGGAAAATAAATTATTAAAGATGAATAATAAAGTCTAAGAGTTAAAAGATTAAATAAGTTTATTGTCTCTGTATTTTTTCTTTTTTTGTCAAAATTAGTTTTGGTTTTATATTTTAAATTTTGATTAACTAGTTTTTAAAAAATATGAGTATCATCCTTCTATCAGTTTATGATGGTAAACAAATTTATCAACGGTTTAATTTATTATTTTTATAAACTTGACGACAGTAAAAAATTATCACCAAATATTTAAATATAAATATAAAGAATGATTAAAATTACACATTAAAAAAAATTAGAAGATTGAATTTATCAATTTAAAAATATGACGATAAAAAATAAATTAAAAAAATTAGGAAAAAACATGTTTTTTTTGTTAACTAATTTAATTTCTCTTTCTTTTCTTTCTTTCCCTCCCTATATTACTTTAAAATAATTTTATGATATTATTTTTCATTTCACTTTATTTTTCTTTCAATCTAATACTTAATAGTAACTCTTTTAAAACATATTTCCCCCTTAAAAGTAATTCCTAATTTACACTACCTTATTTTTAAAGAATTGAATTACAAAATATATTTTAAAAAGTTTATACTTATAATTTACTAAGTTTCTCTTTTCTAAGTGTATACAATTTAAATAATAATAATAATAATAATAATAATAATAATAGTTATTATTATTATTATCAATTATTCTTAATGTAAAAAAGAAATTAAGTTACTTTAAGGATAACTTTAAAAATTGTAACATCTCACAGCTTGGAAACATAAATTAAAATATGTAAACACATAATACATTTAATTATTTACATCACATTTAAAAATATTTTAAAAGAAATATTATCACGTTATACAATATTTTCTATATATATTTTTAAATAAAATAATTAAAATATAAGGTTTCTTCTTTACTTCCTCAGCAACTCAATGATGAGACTGACCACACGAAAGATCATCTGCTCACATATAGCAACACGTTCATTGTAGTTTAGATCAACACACCACACATACTAGAGTAAATTAGTGATAAAATTCTTCTTCTTAACTAGTAACACTAGTACTCCCTATGGTGACACACTAGGTTGAATGAATTGCTTTTCTAATAGCTCTTCTATCTATGTCTTTAGTTCTACCAATTCAGTCAAAGTCTTTCTATAAGGTGTCATTGACATTGGTCCTACCCCAAGAACTAAATCAATGGAGAATTTAACCTCTCCCTTAGGAGGTAACCCATACACTTCCTCTGAGAATACATCTAAGAACTCTCTCACTACTTGAATGTTACTTATTTGACCCTCGTTACTAACTTCCATCTGAGTCAATACCATATAAACAAATTGGCTCCCTCTTTAAGTTCACCCTACACTTGCTAAGCAGATATCATCTCTAGTTCTCCTGGGTTTGGGAATAGTACTTTTTGCTTACCATAATTTATAAGAATGTGATTAGCAGACAACCAATCCATTCCCAATATCACATATAGATCCTGTAAAGGTAAAGAAATCAAGTTAACTTTGAATTTTTGTTCCTCGATAAATACAAAACATCTTGCACATGCAAACACCATTCTAGATGCTGGTGTAGAAACCAACAACCCAAACTACAATTCCTTTATTAACATCTCAACTCCTTCACACAACTACTTAACACGAAGAAGTGTGTCGCTCCATGGTAAAACAACACTCTTAAAAACTTCTACTGGCTATAACACAATATCCTTGAACCAGATTACCTAACTTTACAGTCTTGACTCCTGGCAATGCAAATACTCTCTCAACTACTTTGGGCTTGTTGCCCTTTACTATCCCATGTGAGATCCACTTGGAGTGGTTGCTCCCTTTGGGCAATCCTTGACCATGTGTTTTGTCCTATGACATACTAAACACCTCCTTTCATTTGACAATTGAGAGCAATCCTTCATAAAGTGTGACCCTCTACAATGATATCACCTAATTTTCAACTATTAGGGCTAGTGTTGCTGATGCTGGGATGAGACTACTCCTCCCCTACTTTGTTATGGCCTAGCATAAGGTTTATGCTGATCTACCTTAGCCTTCCCGCTAGAATATCCTCCACCATGAGACCGATCACTTTGTTGTCTCCTCCTTCCAACCTCTTAACCATCTTAGCCTTTTCCACTACGACTGGAAATTCTCTTATGGACATTAGAGCTATTGTCCTCTTCAATTCATGCCTTAATCCCTCCTCAAATTTTCTACACCTCCAAGCCTCAAAGGTAGCTTGGGTATAGAACCTGACTAGGTATTCAAACCTAGTGGTATAAGTATTTACAGTCATATCACCCTACTATAGCCTCAATAACTCTACTTCCTCAACAAACTTTGCACTATCTAGAAAGTATTTTTCTAGAAACCTCATTTTGAATTTTCCCAGTCTATCACTTCTCCTCTAGCTTCCATCATTTGTTGTGCCCCTCTCCACCACAATTCTACTTCTCCTGACAATAGATACGTAGTAAAAGAAATCTTCTTATTTTTAGGGTAGGAGGGTGACCCTAAAAATCTTCTTAATCTCTCTAATCCATTAGTCAACTTGGTTTGGGGTGGCAATGCCATTGAACTTGGGAGGAATATGTCTCATGAACTCAGCTAAATCTCCAAAATTTCTAAACTATTACACTATATCATATTATCTAATCAACTAGACATAACTAAAGCAAAGTAAACCCACTTCCAACAGGTTAACCTAAGGCTTGACCTACTCTGATACCATAAATGTAACATCCTCAAGACAGTTACATGGAAACATAAGAGTAAAATACTTAAGGACATAAATACATTTAGTTATTTACATCACATGTCTAAGTATTTTAAAAAAATATTATCACATTACATAAGGTTCTCCATACATATTTTTAAACTAATGAATAAAATATAAATTTTCCTCTTTACTTCCTCAGTAGCTCAATACTAAGACTAACCACCTGAAACATCATATGTTCACGTGTAACAATATGTTTATCGTAGTTCAAATAAACTCACCACACAAAATAGGGTAAGCTAGTGATAAAATTCTTCATTCATATAATAATAACAAAATATTCTCAATATTCACATCTAAATAAATAAATCAAGTGTTTAATCCTTCAACATGTAAACTATATGCCATGTTATCATACATCAATATTCAAAATCATAGACACTTGACTCTACTTCTAGAAGACTCTCATGCGTTGAATTTAGACACAAAAATTGACACCTGTAACATAACCTTCCCTTAGTGAATATCTCCAACATAGGTACATAATTATATAATTGGAACACGTTCCCTCATGTGACAAGATAAATCACTACGACTTGCTAGATATAATTCTTTTTTTCACATCACAATCTAAGTCATAGAGACCTCCTTTAACTCTCATCACCTGATAATTTTCTAAATATCAATAAAGTTAAGATATCTCCTTTAGAATCCCAAATTCAATACATTACCTATATCTCTACATAGTATTTCCTCCTTGAAAACTACTATGTTAACTTTCATATTTTATCAAATATATAAAATACATATAAGGGTATCACATTATATTTTTCACACCATAATAATATTTTCTTATACATATATTATCTCTCAAAACACATTGTTTTATGTTCAATACATGTATTCTAATATTCTAAGTCATGTATATACCATTTCTCGCATTACAACAAAGAATACATTTTTGGGATTTGACTTGTCTTTATTATTGTTGTCATAACTTTTTCTACAAATATCTATTTTAACTAATTCTTGTTTCATTGGATTCCTTATTTCCAAAGCTTCAATTTATATATCTGGAATGTTAAATTTGGAAACTAGAGATGTTTTTTTATGATTTTTAGAAGTTAAAACATACAAATTCTAAGAAATTTTACTTGAGCAAAAATTTTCTCGCTTGAGAGAGACTCACCTTTGCCTGAGTGAAAATACACACAAGACAAACCTCATTCATTGGGAGTTTTCACTTGAGCGAGATATTTTCGCTTGAGCGAAAGTACACCTGAGAGGAGTCATTTCCTCTTCTGCACAACTCAAACACTATCACGATCCTGCATAACTCAGGGTAAACCGCACTTCAGAGATTAAACACTATCCTGTGAGACTTTATTACTCAATTTTCTTTTAAAATATGTCATACCTAGTTCAATTATAGCTATCATACCCTAACATTTATGCACATCATTACTTGAAGTCAACTCATTCAATCACAATTTAAGATACAACACAACAAATCAAATTCTTAAAAATTAGACAATGTGGCTATGTCACCTTCATAGTTCATATGCTCTAACCTAGAGTACTATGAGAATAAAAAAATAACTAGCTTCCTTTATCTTTCAATTTCAGTGCTCTCAAGCTTGAAAGCCCAAAATCCCCATTTTTTTAGGGAGTCAAATCTTTTTCACAAAAAACCCAATTAACAAATTGAACTTACCACAATGTTCCTAAAGTAATAAAGATTCATTTTTACCCCACTAATGTCACATGCAAGACTCATAGACCCACGTACAAAAATTCTAGCCCCAAATTTGTTAAAATGCTCTAAAATGATTGGATGAAAATGTTGTCCTTGCCATTAGGAGCACAAAGATGTGCTTAAATATAGAAAAATATAAGAATTAAGTGGTGAATTTTAAAGAGAAGTCAAATGATTTAGAGTTTAAAGTGATGGTAGTTTTTTAGAAATGAAGTGTGAAATATAAGATTTTTCTATTTAAACTACTTTCATCTCAATGGTATAAATTGTTGGGTAATTCAAGTGTGATTCTAAGTCACACAATGAGTAAAAATGAGAAAATTGAACAATATATAATAAAGAATTAATTGTATATTTATTTATATTTGAAACCATAATGTATAAACCGAGATTTTAATAGTTTAAAGAAAAATAATGATTAAATAGAAGTTTTTCTTAAGATTTTGACTTGAGAGTGATGTCAATCATTATGTGGGTTAGGTTAATAACTCATTGATGTGTTTCTTGCTTGTGACCCAATAAGTGGTATTACAAGGAGAAATACACTAATAAGACATGAACTCAATCCATATAAAAATTGACATAATTCTCAAATTAAAACCTTAAGACAAACTTCTATTTAACTATTAATTTTTTTTAAATTATTGAAGTCTCAGTCTATACATTATAGTTTCAAATATAAATAAATATACAATTAATTCTTTAATATCATCAAATATTTAGTTATTTTTAATTAATAATATTATAAATTCAAAATTTTATCTAGATGAATTAAGTTTCCGCGTAGTTTTTTTATATAGAGAAATGAACACTTGACAATTGAAATAAAAATATGTACGTCAAATAAATAAATAGAAAAAATTTCTGGACAGGATGTTCAAAATAAATAAAGTGTTTAAAACTTTTTGTTGTTTCTTGAAAATGTATTTCCATTTTTTTTAAAGATTATAACATTTTTAAAGAAATTTCTTATAAAAAAATTTCAGAATAGAAATATCACTTTAATATGATTTTCATATATATAAATGGATAAAAATTTTAAAAAATTATATAAATATATTTTTTAAATTTAAATTATACATTTAATTAAAATATTTTTATTAATAAATAATTTTTCAAAATATCTTCCGGAAAATGGTCTCACTTATAACATTTTTTAAAGATTTAAAAAAAAATAAAACACGTGGTGAGTCGTAATTGTAACATCGCTTTCCAACATGGTTTGGAAACCCAATTTTGATACGTGTGGGATTTTGTCTTATATGAAATTTTCAACGAAATAATTTTGTACTAAAATAAAAGTTAAAAATGATTTCAGGGTTCTCTAAGCAAATATTGTCTTACAAGTTTTATGTTGATATATATATATATATATATATATATATATATATATATATATATATATATATATATATATTTTATCTTCCTGAGTTCATCTCCAATAATAATTGAGGTTAGAAAAAAAGGAAAGAAAATAAATGAGAATTGAGATTATTTTATAACTTATGCAAAACAACTCTTTCTTTTTCACCAGCATAATTTCATTATGTACCTTATGAAAAAAAAAATTAACAACTTGTGTAAAATATAATCGATTAATAATTTGATTAACAAATTCAATATATTAATAATATTATTATATCAATATATTGAGTTGTGACTAGATTATATTTTACATAATCATTAATAATTAATTATAAAAAAATTATATTACTTATCTTTCTAATTCATGGAAATTTTCAGGAAAAAAATTGTATTTCATATTATAAATATATAATTTACTGTTTAAAATAACCTGGTAAAATGTCTATCAATGATATCATTTTATTATTTATAAATAATTTAATTTTTATTTAGTAATTTTATTATTATATATATATATAATTTTTTTTTATTGATTTTAGTATTAGAGTATTTTTTGAGGGTAAATTTTGTTTTTCCACATTCAACTTAGTTCAATCCAATTCAATAGATTTCAAAGTAATAGTTATTCAAACTTGTTTGAACTTATTTATTATTATAAGTTTTTTGATAAAAATTAATATGAAAACTTTGTTTTAAATGTTTTTTTATTTTTATTTAAGAATGTCAAACATATAAAATATAATAAAATTAATAGATCAAATTTTATATAAAAATCAATTTATATTATGTTAAAGAAAAAAAAATAGGGGTAAAGTTCCTAATAAATTTCCTTGCTAATTCCTATTATCCTTCACCGAAAGCAATAACTCAAAAACATAAATCTCTTAAAAAAAATTATATTGATAAATTTTTATTTAAGTTGTCGGTAATTTAACATGTTTTCAATGTAATAACATGTAAGATAATGTGTAGATTGAGATATCTTAAATTATTTATCACCATAAAAACATTTTCATAATCCATAAAAAATTAATTATCTTTAATATAATATTAAATTGCATTATTATTAAATCAATGGCTTATGAAGATTGTTAAATACCCTATTTAATTTTTCCTCCTCAATCTTATCTCTCTCTTTGTTTATTATGGATTTGGTAAAAAGTTTGCTTTCCACTCTCGACCTTATAATTAAAAACTATTCAATTATCATAATATGCCCATAATAGAAGAGAGAAGATTAATGATAGAAGCATCACAAAGATAAATAATGAAGAAATTAATTGATTAATAAAAAAGGATGGATCACAAAGATATTGTTAAAAAGAAAAATCCAAAGAAAATAGTTAATTAATAACAATGGATAGATCCACAGATATTCTTGAAGATAAGACTGAAGCAAATAAAGACAAGATCAAACATAAAAAAGTCAAATTATTTTTCCTCTAATATTATAATTAGAGTCTAATAATGGCCTAAGAGATGATGGATAGTTACTTGTAATAATATTATTGGGTGGAATAAATAAGTTGTTTAAAAATAAGATATAATAAAAAAGCATATACAAAAAAGAAAAATAAAAAATTTAAAATGAATCAATATTTTTTTATTTTTATAATTACCTTTTTTTAAAATCGGTAAATTTAATATTCGGTTTGACAATAAAAAACTAATGAACAGAAATTATAATATATATTATTAAAATAAAAAAAATAAAAATATCACTTATACGTTTTTACTAAATTTTACTAAATTTTGTTATTAATTTCCTTTCATAATAAAAGCAGGTAAACATAAACCACAACTTCAAAATCAATTTTATTAATACAACATATATTGAATACAACATTCAGAAGACAAATGGGATGACAGCCTTAACATTCTTGGGAAAATCTTCGAACTTGGAAACATACCATTTCCTAGTGGAGTAACTCCTACCCAGCAAGTATAAAGTAGTGCCTACAGCAAAAGAGAATGCATATAGGGTCTGAGAAATGAAGGAGAGTCCATAAAACACAGTGATCTCAAAGAGGTAGTGGGGGCAGATCACAAATCCAAACAAGCCACCCTTTGGAATCTTGTACTCCTTTTCACCCTTTCCCCTCAGATTGGATAGGATGTAGTGGTGGTAGAGGTTGCCAATGATGCCTACCACAAAAATCACAATGCCAGGATACAACAGGTTGATTGGTGGGTCTGGATGGCCATTTGTTAGGTGTTGAGCATAGGTCATTGTTGCAGCTGATAGGAAATAACTCATAGTTATGGGGATTGCAGATTCAAGAGTCATGCCTCCACTATATTTGTGAATAAACAGAACCTACACATTCACAGACATTTTTACTTGAGTTTAAATCCATATAAAAGAACAGGTACATGAACCAATCAATAAATTGTAGCTTATATATATTGGATAATTATGCGGTGTTGTGATTTTTGTTAGATTTTAACCTCAAACCAATTGATTTTAGACGAAGTGATAATCATATAAGACATGTTTTAACTAAAGATAATTAAGATAATAAGATCTTGATTAAGAAAATGTCTATTGTAACAGATAAGATGAGAGGCTCTGAAAATAGTTTTGAACTGAAATCCAACATGAACTGAAGTGTAACCTCGAAGTCCCTCTTGAAGTAATGGAGAGTAACGGCAGATTGAAGGATGGTGGACCTCAAACTTTGAGGAGGAAAGATCCAGAAGGATGCAAGGCCAGCAAGGAAAGCAGGAGTGTACAAGAGAAGCATGCCAGCTTTACTTGGCAACTTGATCTGGTTTTGTGCAGAGGGACTAGCATTCCAAAACTTTGAATAGTTCAAATGCTTCCCTCTAATTTCTGACACAAAAGAACTCACAAGTATCAGGAAGCTTATCACTGTCAACCCTGAAACCACCAGAGAAGGTGGCGGTGGGAATATGAAGCTCAACAACACAGACATCACCATGGCAGTATATGCTAATTCTAATCTTGAGACCTTGTTTCTCGGACATAGCTAAAGAAAATGAATGATAGTGATACAATTATATAGTCACATATCGTGTTGAAATCATTGTGGTGGGATCCACTTTTATTGTGTTTTTGATTAAAGAACACCAGAATTTTGAAGGGAATAAAGTTGAAGTAAAGAGCAAGAGTTGGATGGTAAGCTAAGATGAGAATCATATCTTCGAAAACTTACCAAACACGTGAAAATTTTGTTAGTAAATAATTTGTCAGTGCGTTTAAAATTTTAAGTATGTGTTGAAAGGGACGTGATCTATGATCGACAAAAGAAAGGGGAGGATAAAAAATTGAAATTAAAAAAATAAAATGAAAGGAAATATACATATTTGTTTATGTTTATTTTTGACTAAATTATTTTTTCTTTATCCTATTAATATAAAATACAATTTAGTAATTTTATTTTTTTTAAATTTACTCTCGTCTTTTATCTTTTAAACTTGAGATCATTAAAATAGTTATTGCTTTTTTTAAAGCATTTTTCCAGTGATTCAAGATATCCAATTTATTCTATTAACTTAGATGTTAAAAAAGTGTCCATAAATACATAATTAGAACTAAGTTCACTAATATAATATATTTTTGTCACAATTTTTTTTTAATATTTAATGAATTAATTTAAGAAATTTTTTTATAATTTTGTTATCTTAACTCTTCAACTATATAAAAATTTTCAGTGGAATGATATATATTTGAATATATCCTAAAGATTTAAGATTAAACCGTTAAATTTATCGAAAATATATTTTAAATTATAAAAAAATATGGATTATAAATTTGGTGATTAATTTTAATAATATTATTTTTATATATATGTTTTATAATGAATATATTTTATTAATATAATTAATATATAATTATTTTATTTGATTATTTATTTTAGATATAGTTTTAATAAAATATAATTAAATAGTTTTATATGTAATTTATTGATTAAATTATATATTGTAACTACTTATCTATATAATAGTACAAGAATGATAAATTAAAAAAGAAAGAAAGTTTTGATTTAAAGAGTTTACTTATCACAACTGTATTTCACTCAACATCAACAAATTATTCATAAAAAATTCATTCTGATTTTTTCAATTCACTTAGTGAAAACCAATTTCACTAAACAAATGTATTAAATTATAACCAACGGACTAAACTAACATTTGGCTCAATGCAAAGTTATACAACCCACTTATATAAAATTGTCAAACTAAACTCTAATTGATGTAATTGATTTATTTTTTTGCTTTGTATGAACCTTGCACATTTTAATTGCTTGTTGTGTATAAAAGCTTGAGAAAACCAAAAGATATTCATTTTTACACTTTTTAGATCTAAATCATCAATTAAGATGATACATATGTTTTCTTTATTTTTTTTCACTTACTTCTTGCAATTTATATTTCTTTTATTACTTTTCTGCATATTTATTATATTAGATGATAATTCAACAATTATGATGTAATGACTAGTTTTAGTTAGCTAACTAATTTCAGTTTTTATTATAAATATTGTGTCTCTACAGTTAAGTGATTATATTAACCAGTTTATAATGTGAACATAGTTTATTTGCAGTGCTTTTTTTTTTTCTCTCTCTCTATCTATCTCTCTCTCTCTCTCTCTCTCTCTCTATATATATATATATATATATATATACTTGTTTTAGATCCTTTTTCTACTAACAATGGTATCAAGAGTTTTAAGATATTGGGAAGAAGTAAAAGAAGTAGAAGAATGACAATGACAAGAACTGGATTACATATCAATATGGCAGTACTCGGTAGACAGTTGGTGAAGGTCATTTTTTGTTTTCAAGAAGTCTTGGACGTAGTTTTGAATGGATATGAGGGGCTACCAGAGAACCCCACCGAGACACAACGTACGACATTTCGAGAGAAAAAGAAACTATGTTCTACATTAATCAGTGTGTCGATAAAAACAATTTTGAGAAGACTTTGTTGGCAAACTCGGCGAAAGAAGCCCGTGATATACTTGCGCACAGTTATGCAAGCGGGGAAAGGTTGAAGGTAATGCGACTTCAAACCTTGCATCGCCAATATGAGTTGTTAAAAATGAGGATGCAAGAAATCATTCAAGAATATTTTGCAAGATTATTATCGATCACAAATTTGATGAAGTCATGTGGTGAAAGTTTTGAAAGAATGAGAAGTGGTGAAGAAGGTGTTGAGAATCCTTGATACTAGGTTCAATATAATTTCTGTAGCTATCGAAGAGTCTAATGATCTCGATTTGTTGAAACTTGATAAACTACAAGGGTAATTGGAGACTCATGAACAATCATTATGTGAGAGAGCAGAAGAGAAGTCTAACACAGAACAAACATTGTTGATGAAATAAATCTAGAAGAATGAAGGGAATCAATGAAAATTGAATAAGAGAGGTCAAGGAAGAGGAAGAGGTGGAAACAATGGTGGTTGCGGCTCAGAAGGGAAACAAGAAAGTTCTTCACAATTGAAAAGTGGTAGAGGTAGAAACTCACAATGAAGAGATGGTCGATCGGGCTTTGGTGCAAGCAAGAAGAATATACAATGTTATAATTGTTACAAGTATGATCATTATGTTACTGACTATTGGAGCAAAGAAGAAGAAGAAAATGTTGCATAAAAAGAAGATTCGGAGATGAAGTGCTGTTAATGGTGACCACGATGAAACTAGTAGAGACTTTTGGTGAATCTTGGTATTTGAATACCGATTGTTCGAATAACATGTTATTTCAGAATAGTTGGTTTGTCGATCTGGATGAAAATGTGAAATGAAAGGTAAAAATTTAGATAATTCAATAGTGACCTGTGAAGGAAACAAAAGATAATGATCAGAAGAAGAGATGACAAATTTGCAATAATTTCATATGTGCTCTATGTTCCAGCCATAAAACACAATTTGTTGAGTATCAGTCAACTTCTTCAAAAAAGACATTTGATTGATTGGAGATCGAGGGAGTAGATGTTGAGAATTATTGATAAGAATGAGACACCAATTTTGAAGGTACCTCTGAGCAAGAACGAAGTTTTTTTACTCGATATTCTAGTATCAAATAACTTTGTTTTGTAGCAACAGTCTTTGATGTCAATTGGTTGTGACATTTAAGGTATGATCATTTTGCTTTCAATAGTTTGAGCCAACTTACAGAAAAGTAGATGGTGATTGGGCTGCCTCGAGTCCAAAAATGTAAAGACATATGTGAAGGTTGCATGATAAGGAAACAAACCAACAATCCCTTTAAGACGTGCATCGAGACAAGAAGCAAGAATGTGTTAGAAGTTATCTACACCGATGTGTGTGGACCCTTCAGTGTTTCTTGATTTGGGGAAACATGTATTTTGTGACGTTCACCGATGACTGTAGTAAGAAGATGTGAGTGTTCTTGCTCAAGAAGAAGTAGCATATGTTTAGTCTTTGTCAAATTTAAATCAATGGTCGAGAAATAAAGTAGTAGACCCATCAAAGTATTGAGATTAGACAATGGTGGTGAGTATAACAATGATCCGTTTAGATCCTTCTGCAAAGAGAAAGATATTATGCATGATATAGTATCCCCGTACACACCACAACATAATGAGGTTGTAGAAAGAAGAAATCAAACCATTTTAAATATGGTCAGAAGTATGTTGAATACTAAAGGGTTGTCACATTCATTTTGGGGAGAAACGATATTAAAAACTGTATACATCTTGAATAAATGCCAAACAAAGAAAGTGAAGGAGAAAACACTAAAGGAAGTATGGTCTGGGAGAAAGTCAAATATAAAACACTTGAGAATATTTGGCTCGATTGCACGGAGGTATGTTCCCAATGAAAGAAGGAAGAAACTCGATGGCAGAAGTCAAAAGTTAACTTTGGTAGGATATCATTCAAATGGTGTGTATAAGTTGTATGATCCTATCAAGAAGAAGATCATCGTCAGTAGATATGTTGTTAATGAGAAAGATTATTAGAAATGGGTTTCGATGGAGGAAAATCAAAATGTTAGCTTTGATGACTCAAGTGATATAGAAATCAAAGGTAAAGATCGATTGATTTCTCAAATCAAAGGAGAAGGAAATCTATCGAGATCAGAAATTAAAGGTAGTAGAAATTGATCAAGATAAAAAAATCGAAGGTAGCAGAAATCAATCGATTTATAAAATTGAAGAAGGCAGAAATCGATCGATTTCCACAATTGAAGAAAGAAGAAATCGACTAATAAGATCGGTTAAAACAACAACAAGATTCAATGATTATGTGATCAATATTGATGATATTGTTACAACAACTGGAAAGATAATTGGAGGAACGGAGGATGAAAATGGTTTTGTACATCTAGCATTGTATGTTAATATCGAGACTGAACCAATTTGCTTTGAAGAAGCGATTGAGTATCCCAAGTGGATTGAAACCATGAAAATGGATTTATTGGAAATTGAGAAAAATAAAACACGACAATTAACTGATCTTCAATAGAATGAAAGGCTAATAGGAGTAAAATTGGTGCACAAGACAAGGTTGAAGCCAGATGGAACAATCACAAGATGTAAAGCCAAACTTGTGCCAAAAGGCTTTCTATAGAAAGAAGGATTAGACTACAAAGAAGTGTATATTTTTGTTGTCAGGATGAAGATGATTAGAACCATTGAAGCTTTCGCAAGCTACAAAGGGTGGCAAATGCATCAAATGGATGTAAAATCTATATTTTTGAATGGTGAATTGGATGAAGAAATTTATGTTATACAGCCATTAAGGTTTGTGATCACTGGAGAAGAATAGAATGTTCTTAGATTGAAGAAGGTGTTGTATGGCTTGAAATAGGCCCCAAGAGCCTAGAACACTAAATTCGATGACTCTCTTTGACAACAAGAATTCTTGAAGTGTAAAGTCGAGTATTAGATTTACTTGAAGATTAAAGGAGATGATGTGTTAATTGATTGTTTATAAGTTGATGATTTGTTGATTACACACAATAAAATTACTTTGATCGATAATTTTAAAAGGAAGATACAAGATCAGTTTGAGATGACCGATTTAGGGAGTCTGTCATACTTTTTGTAAATGGAATTCATCGAAGGCATGAAAGGTATTTTGATTTATCAAAGTAAATCTACCAAAGAAGTGCTCACAAAAATTAGGATGAGTAAGTGGGATGCGACAATTACACCAATTGAGACAAAGAT